AGATTGTTCAGTAGCTCCATCCTTGTGAAATATCTCTTCCCAATCAGCAAATAATGGCCATTTCTTAAATGTCATTGACTTGGCATATGGATCAACCTAAGAAAAAAAAAGAAAACAAGTATATGAAGTAACTGATAATATTCCAAAGACAGAGATTATATTCACCAAGAGAAAATATAACTAACTAGCTTTAGTTTACTAATAATTTAAACAATTGTAAATCACCTTTATGAAGTCATCCCAACCTTTTGGATCTTCAACCAAGATAGTTCCATCGTTGTATCGAAATCCTAAGCCACTTCGACTTTTTACCAACGATAGGGTCATATAATGCTTTTTCCACCCTCTTATTTTTGAAAAAATATGTGGTAGAGCTTGCAATCCGCAATTAGGATGACAAACATTCAGGTGTTGTTCAAGTTCCATCAAATATTCATGTTTAAAGGTTCCATCATCTTCTTTCCAATCATTAGCACATAACTTTTTTAATCCATCAACCAGAGTGAGTTCCTCTTCTTGAGTCCACACCCTTGCCCATTTTTGAGACATGTTAGACCTTCTTTTAGTGGGACTATCTGTAAGAATGTAAAAAATCATAATTTATACTAACTTATGATTCACTACAAAAGTATACTAACTTATTTTCACATATATTGCATTTGTCTATCACCAGAATTACAAGAGAAAAAAAAACAATATGATAAGAAGAAGACGAAAGCATAAGAAAAGGTTAAGATTTCAAAAGTTTCTAACCTCAAAGAAAGAATTTAGATTGAGCATTCTTTAAGATTTGCCTCTTAGAAGATAATGAAATTTTAGATCTATAAAAAGGCATATAATGTATCTGATTGTATTTAATTAGAAGTGAAGAAGGGTCACAGTTATCTATCTACCATACACAATTGAAATGGTCAGCATTGGAGGTAATAAATCCATCCGTCCTTTGGTTAGTAATGGAAGATTAATGCAATTCTAAGAAGTGAATGACAATTGAATGGTAATCCTGTTATGGATTTTGAAGTTTGACTTTGAGAAAATAATGACACAAATAGGCTTGCCAGATTTTAGAACGGTTGGAAAACCATATGGACTAAATTTCCAAGTTAAAACGCCTAATTGCACAAACTCAAAACGAAAGCCTCGATACTCGAACCAACCATCCTAATAGACTAAATATGACCTTCCGGATCTAACCGTGCTGACGGAATTCTCATCCGATCAGTTTTTACTAAGAATACTGACTGAAGTCGATATTTGAGTAAATTTCCAAGCTAAAACGCCTAATTGCACAAACTCAAAACGAAAGCCTCGATACTCGAACCAACCATCCTAATAGACTAAATATGACCTTCCGGATCTAACCGTGCTGACGGAATTCTCATCCGATCAGGTTTTACTAAGAATACTGACTGAAGTCGATATTTGAGTAAATTTCCAAGTTAAAACGCCTAATTGCACAAACTCAAAACGAAAGCCTCGAAACTCAAACCAGCCATCCTACTAGACTAAAAATGACCTTCCGGATCTAACCGCGCTGATAGAATTCTCATCCGATCACTTTTTATTAAGAATATTGACTGAAGTCGAACTTTGAGTAAATTTCCAAGTTAAAACGCCTAATTGCACAAACTCAAAACGAAAGCCTCGATACTCGAACCAACCATCCTAATAGACTAAATATGACCTTCCGGATATAACCGCACTGATGGAATTCTCATCCGATCACTTTTTACTAAGAATATTGACTGAAGTAGAACTTTGACTAAATTTCCAAGTTAAAACGCCTAATTGCACAAACTCAAAATGGAAGGCTCGAAGCCCAAACCAACCATCCTACTAGACCAAAAATGACCTTCCGGATCTAACCACGCTAATGGAATTCTCATCCGATCATGTTTTACTAAGAATATTGACTGAAGTAGAACTTTGACTAAATTTCCAAGTTAAAACGCCTAATTGCACAAACTCAAAATGGAAGGCTCGAAGCCCAAACCAACCATCCTACTAGACCAAAAATGACCTTCCGGACCTAACCGCGTTGACAGAATTCTCATCCAATCACGTTTTACCAAGAATATTGAATGTAGTCGAACTTTGACTAAATTTCCAAGTTAAAACGCCTAATTGCACAAACTCAAAATGGGAGCCTCGAAACACAAACCAACCATCCTACTAGACTAAAAATGACCTTACAGATCTAACCGCGCTAACAAAATTCTTATCCGATCACTTTTTACTAAGAATATTGACTGAAGTCGAACTTTGACTAAATTTCCAAGTTAAAATGCATAATTGCACAAACTCAAAATGGGAACCTTGAAACCCAAACCAACCATCCTGCTAGATTTAAAATGACCTTCTGGAGCTAACCGCGCTGACATAATTCTCATCTGATCACGTTATACCAAGAATATTAACAGAAGTCAAACTTTAACTAAATTTCAAATATATTGGTAAAATGTGACCAGATGAGAATTACATCATCTCGGTTAGCTCCAGAAGGTCATTTTTAGTCTAGTAGGATGGTTGGTTTGGGTTTCGAGGCATCCATTTTGAGTTTGTGCAATTAGGCGTTTTAACATGGAAATTTAGTCAAAGATTGACTTTAGTCTATATTCTTGGTAAAACATCATCGAATGAAAATTCTGTCAGTGTGGTTAGATTCGGAAGGTCATTTTTGGTCTAGTAGAATGTTTGGTTTGCGTTTCGAAGCTTCCATTTTGAGTTTGTGCAATTAGGCGTTTTAACTTGGAAATTTAGTCAAAGTTCTACTTCAGTCAATATTCTTAGTAAACGTGATCGGATGAAAATTCCGTTAGCACGTTTAGATCCGGAACGTCATTTTTAGTCTAGTAGGATGGTTTGTTTGGGTTTCGAGGCTTCCATTTTGAGTTTGTGTAATTAGGCATTTTAACTTGGAAATTTACTCAAAGTTCGACTTCAGTCAATATTCTTTGTAAAAAGTGATCGGATGAGAATTCCATTAGCGCGGTTAGAGCCGGAAGGTCATTTTTGTTCTAGTAGGATAGTTGGTTTGGGTTTCGAGGCTTTCATTTTGAGCTTGTGCAATTAGGCGTTTTAACTTGGAAATTTACTCAAAGTTCGACT